TCTTCAACTGAAGCCAGCTTTTGAATAAAATGCATTACAGTGTTTAGTATGTGACATGAATACAAGCAGAGATAAATACTTAAATCTGTTGGAAATAGAACAAAATTCAATTGGACTTTTACATTCCTGTGCTCATTTGTGTGCTCAAAAATCTTAAATGTGAAAATTTCATTTTATTTTGCTGTCATAAAGTAGAAGTTTTTAACAACATAATGCAAGCTACGTGATCAGGCTACAGTATGCTAACAATGTAATGCTACCCTGCTTCTCTATTTTATATATTAGGTCAGAGAAAATGGCATTTTATCTTATAATGAGGATACAACATACAGTTTTCACTATCACATTTTAGTATTCCCATCAACTAGATATTCTAGATCATAAGGGCAGCTAGTGTAATCATAATGTCAATGAGAAGGGCTGTTACGACTGAGACTAAAGATTACATGGAAAAAGCTGCTTTGAAACTGGTAATTATTACCAGTCCACTAATAGCAAATGATGCATTACAGTTTCACCATATAATCTGTATTTCACTCAGCTCCTGCCAGTACAGCCTTATTATATTACAGTGCTCACAAATTCTAAATTCCTAAACTACTGTCATCAATAAATGTGTTACTTGCCATAATTTGTAAAATTACTTTGTTCATAACATCTTTGACTTATAAAGACTAGAATTGATTTCCTGCAGGCAAAATTAGGGCTACATTGATTTAGTGAAGTGCAAAATGCAATATTATTCTTCATTTGCTTTGCTGAAAAACAACTTTCCAATTCACCCTTCATTTTTGATAATCAAGATGATAATTTAAATTTAAACTAATGTTTAAGTACATAACTTCTCTAATTTTAAACAAGCTAACATGTTCAAGGAAGCAATGTAAAGAACATGAAATAAGACAAAGCAGTGAAACAGTTAAAATCCACCAGTGAGGTAGCTGTACCTCCTGCTTTGAAGAAACACAATTTCTAATGTCTATTAGTGCTTGATTAATTATGAAGGCTATTGACTGACCATATTACCACCCAGAGATATGTTCCAGTCTAATGCAGGCTTGCCAAACTGTAAGAATTATGGCAATAATCCACAGGCTGCCAGCAAAGGAATGAGATTTGTATTTAAACCACCACATTCTGGGCACAACAATTTCTGCTTTCTTAGAACTAGTTCTCCATTTCACCCATCAAGGCTCCTGCTTTTGGACACTATTCTGCTCAGCTTAAAGCCAATGGAATGGCTTTAGCAGAAGAACAGGACCCTGGAGTCCACTCCTTTAAATGTTATGGGACCAATGTTACTTATGCTGGGTGCATCTATAAGTGCTTTAAGCATGGAGCAATAAACTCCGGCACATATCACACTGGACAGTATTGCTCTCAGGTGCTGCATCCTCATGTGAGCCCATGACTGCAGCACGTTGAGCAAGGCTGGAGCAGCCCCAGCTGGCAGGGGGTCTAGGAGTCAGCCTGCCAACCTGGGGCTTCTCTGACACAGTTCAATGTGCTGTGGAGGAGCTGGCTGGGGCACGAGGGTGCTTCATTGCGAGACTAGCCGACAGGCAACTCCACACTGAAGCATCCTCATGCACCACCCAGCCCCGTCAGCATCTACATGTGTGGTGCTATGCACTAAAGAACTCCACCACAAGACAGTACTTGTATTTACAAGTATTAACCTGTGACAAAATTAATTAGTTTCCTGTGGCCTGATAGGGTACTGATACGTGTAGACACTGATGCTTTATTGTGTAGGTAATTAGACAGCTCCACAGTAAACTTCTCATATAGATGCACCCACCCAGTAGTACCTGACTGCCATGAATAGCCCATTAATTTCTTCGGAAGCACAGATGAAGCAGGGCAATATGGAGCCTTAATAAGAGTGGCAGAATCAAGACCTGTCAGTAGGAACAGGAATAGCCAAGTCAGGCCAAATTTTGGATTTGCAATAGTTTTACAGACTCCTGACATTCAAGCATGGAAACTCTTGGATGCCAATCCTGCAATCCCCAGAATGCATTTGGCTTGATCACACAATTGAAGGTCTCCAACTCACCAAACTGCGAGACAAACTGGACAAAGATTCCATTAGTGCACTTGCTTCTGATGTACCCAGCGGCTCTATGTACCTTCTCCCACTCAGGTAACTGAATCCTGGAATAAACCATCTGTGTTTGTGGGCAGTGCGTGTGTACTCTAAGCCTGGCCAGGAAATATACCTTGCATAACAACCATCCGTACAGTGCTACTTACATGCCCATTTTCCAGCTAACTCCACACAGAGATAGGAAAGAGCTGAACTTGTTTGCATTTGTCAGCTCTGTTGACATCACAATCTCAACTCCTTGCATCCTAAACAGTGTCTTCAGCCTAAATGGAGCTCATATTCACCATCCCAGGCAACACACTCCCAACAAAGTAAAGGACCCTGCTCAACAACTCAAACAGCTCCAGGCAGTCCTGGATTCCTGCCTCATCATTACTGCCTCCTACTCTTCAGGCCCCTGGCAGATCTCAGTATGTTCTGGCAACAAACCTCCCAAAGGCTTATTGGACTAGAAGCCTTTAGCCCCTCCCAGATCCCTCTTAGCCCTTGACCATAATCCCACATGGGTTAATGAATCCCTACATGAAGGTCACTAGGGACCACAGATCCTCCCATTCAGGGGTGAAATTTACATAGATTAGCAGGTGATAGGCAGAAGTAAATACAGCAGAAGCAGAATGTGATCATAAAGTACAACCAGAGGAAGCTGGACAGGTTTCCTTCCCATCCCTGGCCCCTTCTTCCAGCCACTTGCCTTTATATGGCCTGAACTGTTCGTTCACATATTTACTCTCAGAGCTTGGTTCTGCCACTCTTACCCTAATAGGGCTCAGTAGCCCAGTGCTTCACAAATAC